CCCCCCTCAGCCTCTCCTCATAGGTCATATGACTCCAACCCCTAATCGTTTCGGTCACCCTCCACTGGACCCTCTCCAATGCATCCACATCCTTTCTATAGTGGGGGGCCCAGAACGGGACACAATATTCCAGCTGTGACCTCACCAGAGCCGAATAAAGGGGAATAATCATTTCTCCGGATCTGCTGGCAATGCTCCTCCTAATGCAACCTAATATGCCATTAGCCTTCTTGGCTACAACGGGATGCTGTTGACTCCTATCCAGCTTCTCATCCACTGTAACCCCCAGGTCCTTTTCTGCAGAACTGCTACTTAGCCATTCAGTCGCCAGCCTGTAACAATGCTTGGGATTCTTCTATCCCAAGTGCAGGACTCTACACTTGTCCTTGTTGAACCTCATCAAACTTCCTTTGGCCCAATCCTCTAATCTGTCCAGGTCAATCTGTACCCTTATCCCTGCCCTCCGGTGTATCTACCCCTCCCCCTAGCTTAGTCTCATCTGCTAACTTGCTGAGGGTGCAATCCATTCCCTTATCCACGTCTTTAATAAAGATGTTGAAGAAAACCTTTCCTAGAACGGATCCTTGGGCCACTCCACTAGAAATCAACCACCAACCTGAGATTGAGCCATTGATCACTACCCGTTGGGCCTGACAGTCTAGCCAGATTTCTATCCATCTTACAGTCCATTTTGTCCAATCCATATTCCCTTAACTTGCTAGCAAGAATATTGTGGGAGACCGTATCAAAAGCTTTCCTAAAGTCAAGGTATATTGTGACGGGGCGCCAGTGCCCCGCACTTGGGGAAGCCTTGAACCCCGCGGTGGAGAGCAGGCGGGGGGTCCAGGAAGTGCCAGAGAGACAGCGCAACGGACTGAAGGGGGATCGGCCGGAAGAGAAAGCGGCAGCAGCGCGAGAGGCGCAGGAGGCTTGCCACCAGCGATACCTGCGGATGACGTCACCAGCAGCGACATGCTGGTGACGTCAGAAGGTGTGGATGAGGGCATGGGGGAAATGACGTCCCTAGGCGCCCCGGCGGGGAATTTAAAAGGACGCGGGGGACAGGGAGAAAAGGGGGAAGCAGGAGTGGAAAGAGGAGCATCGGAGGTAAGGGGAGTAGATGAGAAGGAAGCAGAGACAGAGGCCCGGATCAAAGCCGCAGAAGAGGGGAGGCAGCCGGTGAGTCTTACCCCTTGTCGGGCAGAGACCGGTGTGAGTGATGGTGGAAGAAGTGGCCCAGGGTAGGGCCGTGGAACCTGTGGGCGGATGGGTTTAGGGGCTACTGCCCCATCCGCTGTGCAGGGAGGAAACTCCCCGCCTTAGGGCCCTGGGCTGGGGCTCAGAGTGAGGGCGGGCCCGAACCCCCTTTCCGCATCACCGAGCGGATCCATTAATCCCTGGCAAAAGGCAACCCAGAGGGTTCCTGACCGCCCACCCGGGGCAACCGAGCTCTGATAACGCAAGCAATGAGGCACTGAAAACACTGAGACTGAATCTCTGGGATAAGGGACCGTAAGACCCAGGGCGTGATCCCACGCTCAGGGGACTATCGGCTCCTGGGGAAGGGGGAAGACTTTGTACACACGGACTTCCCCATTACCTCATCACAGAAGCTAATCAGATTGGTCACGCACGACTTGCCCTTCGTGAATCCATGTTGACTATTCCTGATCACTTTCCCCTCTTCCAAGTGCCTCAAAATGGATTCCCTGAGGATCCCCTCCATGATTTTTCCAGGGACTGAGGTAAGGCTGACTGGCCTGTAGTTCCCTGGATTGTCCTTCTTCCCTTTTTTAAAGATGGGCACTATATTTGCCTTATTCCAATCATCTGGTATCTCTCCCGATCTCCACGAGTTTTCAAAGATAATGGCCAAAGGCTCCGCAATGACATTTGCCAACTTCCTCAGTACCCTCGGATGCATTAAATCCGGACCCATGGATTTGTGTATGTTTAGCTTTTCTAAATAGTTCCTAACTTGTTCTTTCCCCACCAAGGGCTGTCCACCTCCTTCCCATACTGCGTTGCCTAGTGCATTAGTCTGGGAGCTGACCTTGTCCGTGAAGACAGAGGCAAAGAAAGCATTGAGTACTTCAGCTTCTCCCACATCATCTGTCACTAGGTTACCTCCCTCATCCAGTAAGGGCCTCACAGCCTCTCTGATCACCCTCTTATTGCTAACATGCCTGTAGAAACCTTTCTTGTTACCCTTTACATCCCTTGCCAGCTGCAATTCCAATTGTGCTTTTCCCTTCCTTATAACTCCCCTGCATTCTCAAACAATATTCTTATACTCCTCCCTAGTCATCAGTCCAAATTTCCACTTCTTGTACACTTCCTTTTTGTGCTTAAGCTAACCCAGGATGTCCCCGGTAAGCCAATCTGGTCACCTAACATATTTGCTTTTCTTGCTGCGCATAGGGATGATTTTTTCCTGTGCCTTTAATAAGGATTCTTTAAAATAGTGCCAGTTCTCCTGGACTCCTTTCCCCTTCGCATAAGCATCCTAGAGGATCCTGCCCATCAGTTCTCTGAAGGAATCAAAGTCTGCTCTTCTGAAGTCCAGGGTGTGTATTTTGCTACTCTCCTTCCTTCTTTTGGTCAAGATCCTGAAATCTATCATCTCATGATCACTGCTTCCCAGGTTGTCACCCACCTCTACTTCCCCTTGCGCATTGGGATGGTTTCTTCCTGTGCCTTTAAAATACTGGTAGCTCTCCTGGACTCCTTTCCCCTTCAAGTAAGCATCCCAGGGAATCGGTTCTCTGAGGGAGTCAAAGTCTGCTTTTCTGAAGTCCAGGGTGTGTGTTTTGCTACTCTCCTTTCTTCCTTTGGTCAGGATCCTGAAATCTACCATCGCATGATCACTGCTTCCCAGGTTGTCACCCACCTCCACTTCCCCTATTAGTTCCTCCCTGTTTGTGAGCA